TCGATTTGTAATTTCCATCATTATGACAGGGTGTACGCGACACAGTACTAATTTTGGGCGCTATGGTGGTGCTTATCCTTCTCTACGCATAATCGACTCTCATACCCATTAAATCGAATTTACGGTAAACGCGGACCAATTTTTTTCTTAAAAAACGATTTTTCTTAAATTGTTTTAAAATACGTTTTTAGGTATTCGACCTACCTAATTCAAAGGTCGATGGCGACTCATTATCAAATTTCATCCAAATTAATTCCAAATCACCATTTTTCAAAATAAAAGTCATAATTGTTTTTTAAAATAATATTTAATTGTTTTTAAAAAAAATGGTTATGACAGGTAAAATATATAGTTTGATACCTAACTTGGCTTCAAGGTCAAATTTGGTACCTAAACTTTTTTTCTGATCCAATTAGGTACCTAAACTTGAATTTAAGGTTCAATTTGGCACCTAATTTTTTTTAGGTCTGATTAGGTACTTGAACTTGACTTATTGGTTCAAACTTGTACTTGAACTTCACTTTTTGGTCCAAATTGGTACTAATGATAAATGACTTATTTGAATAAACTAGAACCATGAAGTCAAGTTCAGGTACCAATTTGGCACGTTTTGGTCCAATTAGGTATTTGAACTTGACTTAGTTATTGGTTCAAACCGGTACTTGAACTTCACTTTTTGGTCCAAATTGGTACCAATGGTAGATGACTTATTTGAATCAAATTGAACAATGAAGTCAAGTTCATGTACCAATTTAAACCTAAAAACCAAATTCAGGTACTAATTAGTCCAAAAATAAGTTTAAAGATCAAATTAAACCTTGACGGAGGTTTAGGTATCTAATTGGACAAAAGAAAAAGGGGACTAGGTACCAAATTGCACCTTGAAGCCAAGTTCAATACCAAACGTATATTTATCCTTTTGCGAAAGTTATTTATCAAATATACATTGAAGGAGCATGGGAGCTACTAACTTGCACAGCTTATTTTAACAACCTGTATCTTGTACCGTCTAATTTTCAGATAAGGTGTGTTCTTTGGCCTGAGAAGAGAACATGGCTTAAGTGTCAACGTTACTATTTGCAACATCATGCGGATTACTGAATACAGCAGCAATAAGGTACTTTCGAGAGTGCCTAGTGGATCGTTTTAGTAGATGTGTATATATAGGATTTATTTAAGAGGGTGAACACAGGTTGATCTGCAATCTGTGTTAAGGAACTAACTATTGGGAAGAAGCATGATCCTGCATAATAAGTTCGATCGGATTCCGATAGCAGTATTTCATCCCTTCAATGTAATAGCTGCAATTTTTCACAGGTAACTCCTCTCGAATAAACACTGATATTTCCACTTAATTCTTCTGTTGTTTGTTTCGCTCGATTGTGCGATGGTGATTCATTTATTCAGGTATCTTAAAGAAAATGATCACTTATTATCAGTACTGGTTTTATCAGAGAGAATAAAACGTGAATTGTGAAGTTGATGCATTAAACTAAGACCATTTCAGATTTTCATTGGCCATTAAGGGTAAACGTTCTATACCTTGTAAATATGGGGTTGTCTATGGAATTAAAAATATTGATAATTCTAATTCGAATCCTTTTAAGTTTACATCAATTTAAAATTTGAAGTGTTAAAATTATTTTGAGCTCTGAATTTGAGTTATTTTAAGTTCAATTACTGTCAATTTTGATCAGAGTATTTTGATTTTGAATAATTTTGAACTCGGATCAATTTGCATGGTAGCCCATTCAAATTGAATTGATTAGATTTTGATCTTTTAAAGTAGAATTAAATTAAAATTGAGTCGATTAAGGCAAAATCATATCATGTGTTTCAAGTTAATTTAAATTTGAGTTAATCTTTTTTTTTGGTTTTGATTAAATTACTTTAACTTCAAGTAAGTTGCAATTTTTTGAGTTTCACAGTCGAATCAAATTAGGATTTGGTTCAAGGTTCGAGTTACTTGAATTCTCGACTTTTATGGTCAAATCAGATTAGGATATGAGTCGATCAAGTCGAAGGCAAACCTATAACTTGAGAAATCAAGTGCCACCATTATTAGTGTGTCAAACTACAGCATAATGGCAAGTCCAACATTACATTCGAATCAATCTGAGTTTTTTAAATTGCATAAGTTCGCATATTCAAAAACCCACCTTTGCTGCATAACTCACGCTACTGTCTCTCGTAGTTTTGCACTGACCCGATTGCTCGTAATTTGATCTTAAATTTTGTCGAGCTGTTCCTCAGCATCCGAAACATTAGAATACGAGCAAGAAAACATTCGAATTTGAGCAGCAGACACAAGTAACATCCAATTACTCAAAGAACCACACTGCGAATATATAGATGGGCGGTTTTAAAAGGAGATGGAAATTTAGGGTTTAAAGAAAAGCTTGAGGGAAGAAAAACACTGATCGGATGACGTCCGAAGATTGTGTTGTCGTACCCCAATATATATTGTGTTAGCGTGCTAAATCAGATAATGCAGCGTGTACATTAGCAGTACACTTAGAAGCTTCCTGAAGTTGAAGCTGTTATAACAGCTAAGGTTGTTAGCAAGTTAGTTTTGGTTAGTTGTTCAGTTTAGGTGGTTGTATTAGCAGCTAAGAGCAGTAGTATATAAGGAGCACTAATCTTGTACTCATATATGCATTCATAGTATCAATAAACCAGTCTATATTCTTCTATTTACCATACTTCTCAACATGGTATCTTTCGTCGAAGTCCTGGGAATTTTTGGTTTCACGCTTCTAAACTTTCTCTCTCTGGTTCGCTCATGGTGCACAATGGGCCTAGTCAGCAAACTGCTGACACAGTTGCTACTTAGAATTTACAATTCTGTCATGGAGTTGAACGAGGGGACGGCTGGAATTGGATCTAATAAGACGGCGTCGGAGAGTGATGAAGTGGCGGCACCCGAGTTGCTGCAAGTTACCGATAAAATCTGCCGTTTGATGTTGGCTCCGGTGACTAATAATGCTAGTTCTTTCACGGCTCTGCTTGAACCTCCGGTTCTCCAAGCCGTTCAGCTCATTCAATCTCCGGACTCGTCTAAGCTTATTGCTGCTCCAGCTCCGGCCCCGAACGTTGATGTTTTCAAAGGCAGCTTTCATTTTCCTTTTAGTAGTGGGTTAATCGAACGAGCGGCGAAGTTCTCTATGTTCACCGGAGATGATATTGGTAACATCAACGGCAATAACAAAAGCAACTCGCCTGAACCGAGGTCGTACAATTCAAGCGCCAGTCACCAGAAACCGGTGAAGAGCGAGCCGGGAGAGACCGAGACACTTCAGCCGTTAGTTTCTGATCCAACGGTGGAGAACCGGAGTATCAAGAGAAAAGACATAGGAAAGGTCAAAGGGTCGACAAAGAAAAGAATAACAGCGGCGGAAGAGAGCTCCGACAACACCGAAAAGCTACCTTACGACCATGTTAGATCTCGCTGGGGAGAAGCCACGGATAGCCATTGCTCAGCTGAGGGAGCAAGGATAGAGACGATAAATGCACGCATGAAGCTTCTACAGGAGTTGATTTCAGGATGCAGTACGATCTCGAGCACAGCGTTGGAGTTGGATGAAATCATCAATCACGTGCAGTCCATACAGCGTCCAGTGGAGTTCTTATCAATGAGACTCGATGCAGTTTTCGACCAGCTTGCTTCAGTGCGTAAGCCGGGATTTTCCTTGGCAGCAATGTTAATGTCTTTCACAGGTTTGTTCGGATGCATAACCGAGCTAGCTTATAAGGGTAGAAAGGAAAAGGGCAGATGGAGATGGGATAACCCCACAACGTATAGGCGTTTCTGTAATTTTTGCAGATATATTGGCCAATTCTGATAATCCCATCAAGCTCAACTTTTGGCCAATTCTTTTTGCAATTGCTCTTTTGTGCTCTCATTTTCTAAAGGATCGAAGTCGGAAGGCGTCTCGGCTTTATTGTGAAGGTCATACTGCAAATGCTTCTCAACAGATCAGTGTAGCTACGAATATGAAGCACAAGGTTTACGTGTAAGGAGGATGAAGAACTGTTAGTAGTTAAGCTGCGAAACATTGTTGTTATAGAATAGGTTTTTTTTTATAGAATTTTTTGTTGAATGTTCGTTCACATCAAAAGTTTGCATCGATTGAAGTCGAACGGAGGGAAGCATCGGCACTTCCGATTCAAGTCGAACGGAATGAAGCAACAGCACTTCCGATTCAAGTCGAACGGAGGGAAGCATCGGCACTTCCGATTTAAGTGAACGGAAGGAACCATCGGCACTTCCGATTCAAGTCGAACGGGAGGAAGCATCGGCACTTCCGATTCAAGTGTTCATCTTTTCATCAAGAAAGAAAAGTAGAGGGAATGTTAGATTATTGTCAAAGAAGAGAAAAGGAAGAGCAGGAGGAATGTTAGACTGCTGAAAATACAGCACGTGCATGTAAAGGTGGTTAGTCTGTTAAGTTGGTTAGCTAAGTCAGTTAGTTTGTTAGATGGTTAGTGGTTAGCTAAACCATTGTTATAAAAGCAGTGTACCAGTTAATATGAATGAAGGGCAATTCTTTACTGTGTATATTCCACACTTCTTAACACTATTATATCCATACACATCTTGTCCAAGGCCTCGATTGATTTGTGTATGGCCCCGTACTTCTTGTCATAGTGCATATAATTGAATCTGGCACCAAAAGCAAAAGTTAACGTAGAAAACTCATAACCGATATCAATTCAGTTAATGAAGATGAAAGTTACAAGGAACAAGAGACTGAATCAAACATTACTGAGAACCCCAGTGACAAAAATCTGATGAGACTGAGAAGAAATTACGAGGATCGTCAATATACTTAGCCAACAACTTTCCGCACATTGCTTCATTTTCATCGCTAAGAGCACCAACCAAAATGGGTACGATTCTCACCGTATGCCTATATCGTGATCAGTCATCACCCAAATCACATCTTAAACTAAAAACAAGTGTAAAAACTCTTTGAACAAAAGGGAAAAGAAGAAATTTACCCCTCAAACACTTCTGAAAGACATGGCAAGTGCATTTCCATGCTATGCTCAGTTTCATCTACTCGGAGATTCTTCGATTCAGATTTTCCTGTGGCTTTCAGTTCGTCAATGACTGAAAAATTAAACAAATATGACTCAGCTTAAGTTCAGTGTGAAGAAACATTAAAACACATCGAGGACGACAATGCTTTTGGGATAAAAAGTTAGAAGAGAGAAATATATTAAATATTTCAAACAACAGAAAGCCAATTCACAAGCTATTCATCTCAACTCAGAGGAAAGAAAACAACACATAAAACCGAAAACCACAGTCAAATCAGCTGCGACTAACATAGAAAACATGTTGAAGTTATCAACAAAGCTAATCTGACCAATAAGCCAGAAAAAAGGGGATTAGAGCTACAAACAGAAATAAAAAACACTTCACCTTCCAAATCAATAGGTAGGTCCCCTATTGGTGTCTGGTAAACTGTAGCTGTCGAGAGAGCACATTTTGGAGTGTAATAATGGTGTGATAGACCAAGAAGGAATACCCGTGAGCTGAAATTGTAAATTTTCTCACGTCAGCAAGTTTGGAAATGAATAAAGCTGATGAGGCAGTTAATCCTTCATTTAATTACTATAAATTCAGAGAGAAATAAGTTCTACTCATTAAATGATAATTGAACAAAATTTGGCTCGAACTATGAGAGAAGATATATTCTGAGAAATGACATAAATTGCAATATTGATCTATTGCAATTAAAAGAGGAGAAATATGATAAAAGACACATGTTTGTTGGATCGATGTTTCCAAAAGCATATGCAGCAGCTCGATCTGAGTATGAATAGCCCGCATGCCTGAATTCCCAAACCACCATTCAGACAAAATCAACAGTGTATTAAAATTTTAGATTATGTTACAAGAGAAACGTGTAATGAGGTGACATGACACACTTACGGAGCAATTACACATCTTAAATCGGAGGATTTAGGTAAGCCAGCAGCCCTAATCCATCCATCAAGCTCTTCTGCTAACTTTTGTGCTGACAAAAGAATATATGCATATAGAAAGCAATATGAGAATAAGAAGGGTAACAATTTGAGAACAAAACAACACCACATGGCCAATAAAAACAGGCAACTCTTCCTAAGCCATTTAGTTGATCAAATTCGCAAATATAGGTCGAAACTACTAACCTTTTAAGCTTCATAAGATCAGAGCATCGAATAATATCCTAATTCAACACTTAAACTATTGAATTTTTCATCTCTTGAAGCTTTATTTAACTGATGACAAACTTTGTTCCATGCATAACACTCCTTTAATTGATGAGCAAAATCCAGAACCGAAACTAGATTAGGAAGATCGTTAGGCATTTGATGGAATCAAAAGAGAGCAGTAAAGGACATATGGTTATCAGTGCAAGATCCTGCATGCGAAGCTCTTCTGATTTTCTCCATCTATAATCGAGGGAAAGCCCTAATTTTCTTTCCCATGGAACTGGATGCAGATTCAGAAATATTTTATGAGTTTCTGGATGGAAATGAAAAAGAAAATCTTTCTCAAATCAATTATGGTCGTGATTTCAATTAAGACTCTCTCTTTGTTTTATAGTAATTGAATCTGGAATGGAGTCATGGCAAAGTGTAAAGTGAAAGATACATTTCATAATTGTTCACTCCAATTCAAAATAATTCAAAATCCCAATTTTCTTTATAAGTCATAATTATTTTTAAAATAATAAAATTTTCAAAAATGATTATGACAAATACCCTAGTGTTAAATATCAATACCTCTATAAGTATTGGTATCAAAAAAAATATTTTGTTGCGAAAATGGGGTCTCAATATCGATATTGTCACCTTAATATCGATACTGCAGGGACAGTATCGATATTGTTTGGAACCCTGAAATAATTATTTTAGGCTTGAAAACACTCAAAATTCATCCTAAAGGTCATTGTTTGGTTATAAATCATGTACCAATGTTATGAGTAGTTATTTAGGGTCTTAAGGTGTCATAATACTAAGAAACAAATTTATGATTTATGGCATAAATCAAAAGTGAAATCCTAATTAAATGTTCAACTGTATAAATCTTAACAATTTCTTATTATTTATGAAAACTTAATTTTTTAAAAGATTAGAAATACATTACCTTGACGATTGAATCCCTAAATGAAGCTTCTTGCTTAGCCAAAATCCTTTCATTGGTGATTTGGATGAAAACTCCCACTTTTCTTTAGCTAGTAAATAAACCAATACTTTGATTCTTTAAAACTATGTTGTAAGGGGATTAAGAACGAAAATATAACAAGAAAAAGGTTCAAAACCTTATCTTAGAACTATGACTGCTTAGAGAAGATGAAGGAAGACAAAATGAAAGAAAAAAAAAAAGAATAGATATAAAACCTTCATCTTTGCAAAATAGGTAAATTGCACAATCAATCTTTCCTTGCTTTTCTACAATTTAAAATCTCATTTTTAAGGTCTTTTCTACAATTTAAAATCTCATTTTTAAGGTTAATTGGGCCCAAAGTCAAATCCAATTAAGTCCAACATCTTTACTTATGAATTTCACGAGACCCGCTTACTTCTTGAGTAAATCTGAAACTAATCCGGAATTTGGAGTGTTACACTTATTTATCTCAGGATCAATAAAGTTGCCACTCAAAATTCCTTTGACCCATTCACAAACAGCGGCCCTAAAATACTCCACTAACTCTGATAAAAGAGGGCGTGCATGCCTTCTTTTCTGGCGGACTTGAGAGGATGCATATCAAAAAGAGCCTTCCGAATTTCATCATTAGAAACCGGAGCGTCAAGGAGTTAGATGTCGGGAGACGAAAGCCGGGGGAAGCATTGCGGATGGAAAAAGTGCCAGTGCGACCGCCACTATCATGATAGAGGTTGGAAAAGAACTTGACTGCTTGATTAAGGAGAGTATCATTATCGTAACACCGATCAACGTTACTGATGCGAAGGGCTTGGATCCGATTGGAGTTACGACAAAGAACCGCTCGGCTGTGGAAGTATTTGGTATTCCGATTCCCTTCAGAGAGCCAGTTATCTCGGGATTTCTGCTTCCAAAGGAGTTCTTCCTGATCTAGAATCTCCTCAAGCTTTGTACGGACCTTTAACTCTTCGTCGTAGAGGTGATTGGAGCCATAAAGGTCGAGAGCTGCTTGGATATCCGAGAGTTGCTTCTTGAGCATTCGTTTTTCCTGGATAATGTGACCAAAAATATTTTTATTCCAAACTTTAAGAGCTTCGAAAAGATTACTTACCGATTGGTGGATATCCCCCTCGAAGGTCCAGTTGTCTTACACAAAAGTGGTGAAATTCGGGTGCTTTGTCCAACCAGCGAGGAAGCGAAAAGATCGTTGTAAATATCGATGAGAGGGGGCCAACGTTTGAAGAAAGAGAGGTCGATGATCAAATTTTATACGGAGAAGGTGATGAACCGTTGAAGAGGGGGCGAGAGTGCACCACTCAGCATTGGCCAACTTGAGATCAAGCCTTTCAAAGACTCCCCCACGAGTCCAGGAAATCCTGAAAGAGTCTGCAGCCCATACCACTATGAACACCCCATTTATTGTCCACACTAGAAGAGATCCAAGAGATTGTAGTTGTTAAGGAAATCCTGAAAGAGTCTGCAGCCCATACCACTATGAGCACCCCCTTTCTTGTCCACACTAGAAAGGATGGCTTTGAAATCATCAGCAAGGATCCAAGGCGAGTTACTAACCCGCATAAAGGCTAAGATCCCTCCAAAACGCTTTCTTCTTGGCCGGGGTTTGGTGGCCATAAATAGCGGTGAGTAAGAAAGGGGTTGAAAAACCATTGCTAGAGATCAAAACACGAATACTGGTGGTGAGCAGCTATCATTTTGACCATAATGGTCAAGCGCCACAGGATCCAAATTCCTATAGAGAAACCCACAACTTCCACACGATAAAAGTTATCGAAACCAAGTTTATCAATGGCACGGTCCGCTTTCAGGCTACTGATGCGAGGTTCTAAAAGGGCAACCATGTTGGGTTTTAAATTCTGCACATACTCTTTAAACACTTTGGGGAATTTAATCCCACCACTTCCTTGACAATTCCAAGTTAATGGTTTGAAGTCCATAAGTAAATATAAAGAAAAATGGAGAAAAACAAGTAAAATAAACTTATTTGTCTAAGGATTAACCTGATTTTGGATAGAATTAAGGACCATTTCCATCGCCACTTTGATTTGGCATCCTGGGATTAGTAGAAGCCTTGACCTTTAGACCCTTATTAGTATTACGAACTCCAAAAGCAGCTACTTGCTCTTTAGAAGAAGGAGGCCGCTTAGGATTATTGTATCTTAGCGGTTCGGTAGGAGTGGTAGAATGAGAGCTGGTCACTTCCTTGAAGCAAACTGTCGCATGCAGCTTAGCGTTGAGGGAGGCATTCACGACGCTCGCTCCAACACCTAGGGAATTGTCAAAAATAGGATTAGTATTAGAGATAAAATACGAGCCATTAAGGCTTACCAGCGTCGAAGTCACGGGACAACCATGGAAGAGGAAGGTGATCGCGTGGGTAAGGACTGTTCTGAAACTGAATTCACGTCTTGAACATTTTGCATGGGGGTGGGGTCGAGCACTTTATGCATGGGACATGCAACGTGGGTGGCAGATGATGCGGCGGTTGGAAAGGAAGTAGTGATGGCGGGCCCCACCTTAGGTGCTTGAGTAATTATAGATATACCCGCTCGTGATCTAGTGTTTCCAGAATAGGAAACTTGTGGGCTGTTAATGTTATCAGCTTGGCCGAGGATCGGGGCTTGATGACAGGGAGAATCTTTGGATATAGAGGTGGTCGGATCAATCGCTCCTGGAAGTCTAGGAGCATCTTTGACTATCTTTGAACTTGAGGCAACTTCGCTATTTTTGTTAAAATTCCTTCCCTGATTTGGAGGCTGTGAATTAGCTCCCATTGACATTCAGAGCTGTTGAAATGACCATCCAGCTCAATTGGTAGAGTACAAAGTTCTTAATCTTGAGGTCGTTGGATTGAGTCTAGTATTTTATAATTCGGAAGTTTCTTACGGAAGCTGGTAACCTCCATTTTTTATCAACAGTATTTTGTTTACCGTTACCTTTTCCGGCCGGTGTATATGCCGGCGCCGTTCAATGATCATCCAGGCTCCACAGGGCGAATTCTCAGATTATGTCTTGTCCTCTAGAATTGTCTGGTTATTTTTCGTTGGACTGGTTTCAGCACTTATAGACTTGTCCGGGATTTTCCCATTGTTTGTATCTGAGTTACGACTGGTATCATCTTCTTTATTTTGGAACGGGCACACTTCTTTAAGGTGTCTGAATCTTCCACAGGAGAAACAGACAAGGGGAAGATTCTCGAATTCCACGGTGTGGATTTTATCACCCACCATAATCCGAGAGACCAGTGGCTATTTGAGATCTATGTACACCGCAACTCTAGCAAAGCGTCTCCTTTTGTTTGTATCTTTACGCTAGTCCAATTTAGCAACCCTGCCAACAATATTGCCGATGCAAGTTAGGATTTTCTTATTAAACATGTATTCCGGCAAGCCCGGAAAATGAACCCAAGCCATAATTGTAGAAAGAAAAGCTTGAGAGGTGCTAAAGTTTCGCGTCCATGGTTAGACTGTCAAGTATTGACCATAGATTATCCATTGCCATCCTGGAACTTAGCGATGAAATAGTCATTCTCCAAGTCCATAAGCGTGAACAGTTAGGTGGGTTTCTATAGCGTAAAACTTCTGTTCATGAGTGCGTGGAGCCCTATGTTTCGACCAAGAAGCTTAAGAATGATCGTTCTAGTCATGCT